GGCACCAATCGATCAAAGAATTGTGGGCAGAGTATAGAAATCAATGATATTTTGGTAAACATCCCCATATTGTTGGATGGGTTGGGTAAAATGTTTATATATAAACAGACACACACATACATACACATACAACACAGACACATACACAGATACACGCACACGCACATGAACATGCACACATACGCACAGCATATGATTGCTGTTGTTCGTTACAATTATTGAAAATGACTTAAATCATTTTAAAAATTTTGTTAATTTAAATTTTGGTATTTTAAATTTTAAAATGCATACAAATATTCTCATCACACTAATTGCTACATTTTACAGCTTCAATTTCTCTCTCTAAAAAATTTAACTTTTTAAGCAGTGCCTCTTAAAATTCATTTATATATTCTCTAACTTCACTTAGCTATTCTACAACAGCACTTTTCTCAATACATTTCTCAATTTTTATCTTTCAATTCTCAGTTTTCATCATTTTCCACAACAACTGACAATTAATTCAATCATTCAACAATAAATGAAACTATTTAAGAGATGAAAAAAAAAAAAAAAAGAAAAACATTTGTTATTCATTGAATGCGAACTAAAATTTGTAAAGGGATCTACCTCAGTTTGTTGTAAATACATTACTAACTAAAAAAGACCAATATGAAATGGTAAGTAAATTCTATTCTATTATCATAACATATAATGAAAGGTTAAACATCATTTTTGATACGTTATCTTTCCTTTACGTGACCTATCTTACGTTCTTACGTGAATAGTTTTGTCACCATGTTTCTCGATTTGAAGCTAAAATGGACCACTGCAATAGTTGAATTGTTTTAGAGAGAATTCTTATATCTTTTTTTTTTTTTTTCTGTGATAGTAAAGAGCTTACCATAAAAAGTAAAATCGTAGAGAAATGATCATAATCTTTCATTTTAAAGATATGACCTTTAACATATCTAACAAAGTTAAATTCTAAGTAATATAACCTGTCAATACCTTTATATTTGGATGATCTATATTTGTTCGAGAACAGTAATATTAGTCTGAATTATTCAAGGAGTCACACATAATGATGACAGATGGTGGTCGATAATTTTAATTCATACAGAAGAGTTGATAATTGTTTCATACTTTTTTCTTTAATGGAATATCTTTGCTGGTCTATTGTCAACCTCTCTCTCTCTCTCTCTCTCTCTCTCTCTTTCCCCCTTTCCGTTAATGTTGAGAAGCGAAGAAATGATACTTCCTAAAATAGATAAAATTACTCGATTGATGTAAGCTTAGATGGATAGAGTGATAATTGGCCTGTATAACTGATAAAGGATTTAATATCTTCTTTTAAACTGATATTCTGAATTCAAAAAAATTTTTCGGTTTCTACAAAGCAAAAAGTTATGCAAAGGAAAAAAAAAACAAATTCTCGAATAAAGTAATATAGAGTTTTAGTTTGCATTTGCAATCGCTTAAAGATTGAATAGGCTCAAAATCATTGCTACAATATAAATTTTTTTTCATTGATAATTGTTGTAATTCGTTGGTGCAAGAATGCCCATTAATTATTGTGGAAAACTTAAAATTTCAATTTTCATATCTGATTTGTCTGTGTTGATTCTCGTCCAATAGGTATGATCATCTTGATGAACTTAAAGGGACATTTTAATCACTGTAACATCTATCACAACCCTTTTCTGTTTACGTTATCAAATGTTCTGATAAGGTCAACAAAGGTCATATGACGTTTCTTACAGTTTTTTTGCACTTCTCTTACTGAGTATATCTTCTCATTATCTCTAAAACCATAATGATTTTTAGATGGAAATTCCTTTACAATAATAGTTATTAATCTATTTCAAAGTACTTTTAGCACAGAGAAAAATTTAGAAGAACTGAGATTAAAAAGGAAAAAATAAAAAAATGGTAAGTTTTTAATTTCCAACGAAATGCTTTTTTGTTTTTTGTTTTTATTTAACTAATAATAATTTTTTAATTTTCAAAAATACATACAAATGCTAAACGTACACGTATAAGCACGCGTAAAAGAAATATGTACATGCATATTTACTTGTATGTAAAATACACTTAATAAATTTACTTTGTTTTTTCATTAAATATTGCAGGGAAGATTTCAATGAAATAATTTTTGTGGATTATTTTGAATTTTATTCAAATTTTAATTCTTCTTATCAATAGAACGTGAAAATGAAAATCAAAATGTTTTAGAAAAAAAAAAAAATCATAATTAAATGAGTGATATGATACATTAATTTATAGATATTGGAATGTTGATGGTCATTTGAATTGTTTTGGACAACAATCACTGAATAATCCATATTACATGTTTGGTATACTATCAAACTTTAAATTCAAACGTAATAAAATAATAAATGATAATAACGACAGCTGATAATGATGATAATGACAAAAATATAGAATAATAATAATAATAACAAGAATTCGGATTCGATTTATTGCTCGCAATTTCTATAAGTAATTTAATATTAATCTCAAAAAAAAAAAAAAATTTAATACATTTTCAATATTTTATGAAACATAGTTTATGTTTAATATTCTAAAAACAACCTGACTCCGAATCAGAATTCAGTTTAATTATCGATAATCATCGATTTCTTTGCCAGTTCTAAATTAATAGAGACTTGATTTTTGCTTTCTTACAATACAAAAACGAATTAAAAATGTTGCAAAAAGCATCAAATCAATTCACTATCAATTATCGGCACATTTCAGAAAGTTTCTAAATTTATGATAAATTCAAATGGAATCTAGAAAATTGAAAAATGCCATTTTTTACGAATATTCCTTAAATGAATCAGAAAGATTTGTTGAGTATTAAAGTTCAACAGTGATCTTCTGGGCAATTTTATTTGCATAATTTATTTTCTTTAATATAGATTAACACGCATAGTATATGAATGTCAAATTGGGATGTATTAGAGATCAGAAAAGAAAGTAAATGATAATTGATGTAAAGACGAAAAGGGTTGAACAGTAAGTAACAAAGAAAACAAAACGTTTGCATATTGTGATGAGTGCGAGAGAATACTATCACAGATATTTTTGTTCTCTCTCAACTTATTGCTAAATAAATCTTAGTATTTTCATATATTATAGCTTATAACATATCAAAAAAGAAAAAAAAAAAATGTCTTTTGTTATTTCCTCCATCATTCTTCTATAAAAATATCAGAATTTGAATTTTTCCCTCTGCCAGATTTTTTTTAAATTTTAGTCCCGAGATGATAGTGATGAATGGGCGCCAATTCGGTTTTTGCGCAAAAAGCATAATTTGAATGAAAGAGCTGGGAATTTCATATTGCTCAAATACGATTTCAGGGCTGGATTCTGCTCAAATTACAATGAAAATTTGATTTTGCCTGGGTAAATTGCTGAATATCAAAATCAAAAGTACTCAACAATAATAATTTTCATGCTTGGTCGTGTAGAGATTTTGTTACCAATAAAGTGCGCGAATTGCTATAAGCATATAAGTCATTCAAAATGTGCTTCCACTTATCATACCAACAAAAACTGCTACAAGGGTAACAGAAGAATCGATCGATTTATAAGGGTAACAGAAGAATCGACCCAACTTTTAATTTTAGAAAAATTTTGTGTTTGCAGTTAGGATGTGATAAATGTTGAAAAGATTTTAACCTTTTTTTTTCCAACAATAAAAACAAAAAGTAATGGCTTTTAGATAAATACCAATGACGACTTATTGTATCTAAGCGTTTAATGGAGATAGTAATGCAAATTCATTTCAAATAGCTTACTAAAGGTCACAAATTGTGAAATGAAAACACGCTTTAATGTAAATTCTTCATCGATTGATTTATTACAATGGATATTTGAAAAGTTTAACATAATAATGATAACAAATTGTTGTGAGACTCATTTCATTTGGTAACAGAAACGTATGAAGTCAAAAAATAATAAAAATTTGAACTTGATAGCAGTATACAAACATTGAAAACTAAAAGTAAAATTCAGCAGCAAGAACTAATTAGGAATGAGTATTAAAAGTATAAATGTATATTTAATATTCAAGAAAGAAAATATTTGCAAGTTTTGAATCAACATTCGATTTGCTTACAAATTAGAAACAAATCAACAATTGATAAAATAAAATTTTCAATGAAAAAGGAAACCATCACACAGTAAATCTGAAATCATCACTGGCGAACACTACATCTATCACTAAATATATGGTAGCAATCTCGACTGAATTACAAAACAAGTAATCGAAAAAAATTCTGCAGAAATAAAATTAAAAGTCATTGGTATTTTCAGAATAATAACTAATTAAAAAGATGAAAAGTTATACCTAGTTTAGACAGTAATTCTAAGCAATTTTTTGTAAGCAAATACCATGATTACTTGTTCCTGGTTGATATAACACTTTTTGTTGGTTTCTATAATAGCACAAAAATGTTAGAATGCGGTGGAATAGAATATGAATGAAGGAATTGCTGAAGAAATATTACTGAATTATCAAAAATTAGAAGTGGTAATTTAGTAATGTTTATTTGGTTACTATTTTAGGAAATGACAGTACAACAGAAATTTGTATCAATTAAAAGAAACATTTCAGAAAAGGAAGATCGCTTCTGTAAAAGAATGATAGTGAACATGCATAATATAAGAATGTCAAATTGAGATGTATATTAGAGGTCAGAAACGAGCAAATGAGCAAATGGTATTCAATGCAAAAGACAAAAGGATTAAACAGTCATAGTCAAAAGTATATATCTTCATGAATGCGGGAGAATGCACGGAAATACTATCATGGATGTTCATTTTCGTCATTTTTTTTTCTTATATCAGAATTATAACAGAAGAAAGTATGGGATGTTTAATGATTAGCATAGTTAGTATTATACTGTGCATGCATTGGAACTTGGTATTTTTTCATAAAAAGTAAATAATGGTTAAGTCACGTATTTTATACTTGCTGGATATTTGGTAAAATTTGCTAATTTTATAGAATTATGGCTTCCATGGAAGATATCAAAATAGTTTTTGAGTACTTGAAACGGGAGCCAGAAATGTATCGAATTTTGCAACGATTTGTGAGCGAGACGCTTCAGGTATTTTTAATTTTGTTTTTCTTTTCCCTTCTTTCTTTTTTTCGTTTATTTTATGAATTGATGGCAGCATGAAGTAAGAGCTGCAGAACTTCTAATTGCTTAAATTTAAATCGTGAAATGTTAAAATTAGCCTTTTCAGTTCGAGCGCTCGCTCATAGAAGGTATGATGGAGGCAGGGCGGAGGTTGGAGGGATTGGTGGGGCAAAATGCCCACGAAGTAATGGAAGAGAATCCGGTGCCTCAGGAGCCGGAATTTGACGAAGAAGAAGCAGAGCGGACTCCTCTGCCTGAAAGTAGTGAAGAGGCCGAGAATTGGCCATGCGAAGCAGAGTGGACGCCTCTGCCATATGATGAAGAAGAGGAAGAAAATGAACCTGAGGCACCGGTGGCACCAATGGAGGCGAGTGGCATCGTAGAACCGGTTGAATCAGTTCGAGAACTCGTCCTGTAAGTTTTGATTTTTAAAGCAACTGTATAGTAAAGTAATAGAACAATTATTAACATCATCTTTCAAGTAATTTGCATCAACTTTAAACCTATTTCAGACGAACGAGGACGATTCGCATCCCGGTTCTTGCCACGCAGGAAGAAATGGCTGCGGCAGTACCGGAAGAATTTCATCCCGCTGATTTGGGGGATCTTCCGGAGCAACTCCGAATGGAGTTGCAAGTGCCGCAGGCGGAACCATACACGGTGACGCAAGAAGAAGGAAATAAAATCGGTAATAATTTATTATTTTAATAACACCGAGAACGACTATATCCTGTTATTTATGAATGAATATAATCATATTTTGACCTCATCCTAGTATAATCATGCTTGAGAATGAAATCACTTTACCCTTCATAATATTTATAAAACACCAAAATAATTACAAAAAAATTTCCATATCGATGTTTTAACAATAATTTATGCAACGATATTTTTTTTAAATCATTTCTATTTTCAGTGTGTGGTTTTTGCGGTAGGCAGTTCGACACACTAAAAGGGTGGCGCATCCACGCTTCTAGGATGCATAAGCAAGAAGGTAAGAATTTCGAAGTGAAATTTTCATTTTAGTTTTTAAAAATGTATCTGGATTTGATTCATCTAGGAAGCAACAAATTATTTTGTATGCATATTCCAGGTTTTTGTGCTCGTTGTGGGCACAACCTCTTGCTGCCACCTGGATATACGGCCGCACAGAAAGCGGCAGCGGTGGAAATTCATGCCCTCGATTGGTGCCCGAGGGCTTGTGCGGCCGTAATTGGCGAAAGACAGGTGAAGCGCCGCAGATTGGATCTTGTGGGAAGAGAAGAGGATCATTTGTTCATTCCAGGTAATAAATTAGTAATATTGCAGAACTGAGATTTAACAGAAAAAGATCCAAATGTCATAAAAACAAAATACTCCTAAGGTAAATAGTTTATCTAATCATTAATCAGTAACTTTTTTTTCAGGCCAATAATAACAACAGGCCTTTCCCACGCGGCCAACCTGTCGCTGTCTGCCCCATCTCTCCAGTCTCTTCCACGAAATACGGCAAGCTGGGTTAGTGGAATTGAATTAATAAAAAAAAATAAAAAGCAAAAAAAATTAAAAAACAAAAAAAAAAATAAAAAAATAAAAACATCAAAAAAATCAAAAAAAAATAAAAAAAATTGAAAAAACAAAAAAATCAAAAAAAAAAAAAAAAAAAAAAAAGGAAAAAGAATAAAAATTAAGAAAAAACAAAAAAATAAAAAACCAAAAAAAATTAAAAAAAAATTTTGCTGTTAGAATAATTGTGATGTGAAAACAACTGAATTCAAAATATGGAGAATATTGGGATTTTGTAATCATTTTACATTTTTGTGCACCGTTTATAGTTTGTAGTGGCGTAATCAAAAAGGAAATTTTTTTATCACCATAAAATTGAATATTGTTAAGTTAACTTTTCGAATTCAGTTGTTTTTCTTTTTCAGTTTTTTTTTTGTTTATTTTTTTACTAGTTGTCTTCTTAAATTTTACTAAATGTTTATTGTTGCAATTTATTTGTTTCTTATTCAAGTAATTTGTGTTTAATTTAGTGTTTCTAATGGTTTTGTAATTTTTACCAATAACTTTCATATTTTTTGTTCCTTAATTTTCTCACAACTATTGTTTGTATTAACATTTTATATTATTTTATTCGTTATTTTTTACTGAAAATTTTTTTGCTTTTTAAATGTTCCTTATATGCTATATTTATCGGGTACCAGCTTCGAATATATTTAATTTTGTGTTTTTAACTGTTTTTAACAATAGATTTCTTAGTTTTATTGAGTTACATTTACTTATTTACCGTTATAAGATGTTTCCTTTTTTAACCATTAGATAGTTACAGACGCAAATTTCCATATTTAAACATATTGTTTAAGGCACTGAGTAATTTTTAAAACTTACTCCTCACGCTCAGATTTTTGATTTAATGTTATCTAGTTTAGTGAGTTAAGAAATTTATGATATTATTGATCAGTTTAATAATGCCTTAGTTTTTTATTTTAACATTTTTTGAGCTGATCACGAGTTGGTACCCAGTTTTGTAATTATCTTTGTAGTGGGGAAGATTGAAAAAAGGTATAGAATTATATTTGCTAATAATTTATGAGTAAAATTTGTAGCTCATAAAATTTTGAGAGAGAATTTTCTGTAACCTGGAATAGATTTCCAAAGATTTTTTTTTCCAAATCTATGATCATTCCTTTCAATTTTTGGAACATTTTTTTGAATCACTAGAATATTGGGACTTTAAAAAATTTTTGAAACTTCTCGAATTTTCCAATTTTCATTTTTTTTTCATTCATTAATTCTTTTTTTTTTTTTTTTTGATTAATTTTTTATTTTTTTTTAATTTTATTTTTGTTATCCCATAAACTTCATTTTTTTCTTTGATGTTTTTTTTTTGTTCGACTTTTGGTTTAGTTTTTAGTTTACAATTTTTTGATTTCATTTTTTAGTTCTTTTTTATTAATTACATGCTTTTTTTTTATTATTCTTACTTATTGTTAGAAATTATTTGCAGTTTTCAAATTTTTCCTTTTTGTTTGTTTTTGAACTACTGCATGCTCTTTGCTAATTGTTTAAGCATATCTTTTTTACAACCTTACCGATGGCATGCTTTTTCTTGTTAACAATTTCATGATTTTTGTTATTTGTAACTTTAATAATTGCATGCTTTTTTTTATTAACTCCACCTATTGTTATTGTTTATTAATTTAATTTAATTGTGCATGCTTTTAATTAGTCATTTCGTTTGTAACTTTAATAATTGCATGCTTTTTTTATTAACTCCATTTATTATTATTGTATATTAATTTAATCTAATTGTCATTTTCGAAACACTTTTGATTAACTTTTTTTTGCATGTATTTTTGATTAATTCCAACTTACCGCATGGTTTTTTTTTTTTTTTTTTGTTGACATCACTTACTTTCGCATTTGTTACATTTGTTGCTTCTAACTTATTGCATGCCTTTTTGGATTCGTTTATGCATGTTGTTTTTGTAATTTCATTACTTGCATGCTTTTTTTTATTAATCCCACTCATATTTACGATTAGTTCTAGTTTAGGAATCTCTTTTTGTTAATATTGTTTTTCACTCACTTTTGGTTACTTTTAATTTATTGCATGTTTTTTTATTAATTGTTAACCTTACTAATTGCATGCTTTTTTTGTTTATTTTGTTTTTAATTTTTTATGTTAACCTATTATTATTGTATATGCGTCCGAAATAACTCCAGTTTTGCATGCGTTTTGGACTAATTCTGACTTACAGCATGTTTTTGTAAACTTTGCCCACCCAGTTGCTGTTCACTCATGCGTTTTTTGTAATTTATTAAATGCAGATGCATGCACTGTTTTGGATTTTACTAGTTGCATGTTTTTCCGTTATCACTACTTGCATGGTTTTTTTGCTGACCTCACTTGCTATTTGCATGCTTTTTCGTTGTCAGTACTTGCATGCCTTTTTTTGATTCATTCATACATGTTATTTTTGTAATTTCACTAATTGCATGCTTTTTTGTTTAGCTCATTTGTTTTATACTTTGTAATATTTTGGATTATTTATCCTTTTCAAATCTTTTGTTGCAATGTTTTTTACATGCACTTTTATTACTTCCAACTTACTCAATGCATGTTTTTTGTAGTTCACTACTTGCATGCTTTTTTTGTTACTCTGATTCGTATTTACGATTAGTTCTAGTTTTCGAATCTCTTTTTGTTAGTATTTTTTCACTCACTTTTGATTACTTTTAATTTACTGCATGTTCTTTATTAATTGTTGACTTTACTAATTGCATGCCTTTTTTGATTCTTTGATCCATGTTTTTCCAGTTCACTATTTGCACGCTTTTTTTGTTGACTTCACTTGCTATTGATTACTCTTTTTTGCTAGCATTATTTTTGCATTTATTACATCTGTTGCTTCTAACTTATTGCATGCTTTTTTTTTTTATATTTATGCATGCTTTTTTGTTAATTTTATTTATTGCATGTTTTTTACTACTGCATCTTTATTTAACTTATCATTTCTGACATGTATTTAATTCACAATAAAATTTTTCATATTTTTGCATATTTCATACCTTTTTGTTATTTATTAAATAATCGGGTTTTATTAAACAATGTTATTAATTTTTTGTATCACTTTACTAATTTGTTTTCTGCATGCAATTTAATTTTAGTTCTACTCAATACATTTTGATGCCATTCAATTTGCAGGTCAAAATTTTTAAACAAATTCTATCAAATGCTTAGAAGGTAAGCTTTTTTGACCATATTTTCAATCATATAAAAAACCAAAAAAAGCTCTGTTGATGAATTCTTCTTCTTTTAAATCTTTGAATTTAAGGTCGATTTTGCTGCAAGTGTGACGGAGATCTCGGTGAGTAGTCGTGAGTTGTGGTGTCATCGATCTTAAATTCAGTGAACAGAATTCTTCTGACGCTTGGAATGGTGTCGAGCATTTCAAGGTTTGTCGACTTTTAGATTTTCCAACTTTCAGTGTTTCATTTTTTACGAAAAATTGGTTCTCTTTTATATCGTAACGCTTCTAAATTATTTGTAATGGAAAACAACATTTTGGGTTCTACTCATCATTTTGGAAGAACTGGTCAAGCTGTCTCATTTCTGTTCAGCTTGAATAATTGAGTTAAAACAATTAATTATATCTTTTTGTAGCTTTAAATTATCGCTATAAAGTGACTGAATTGGAAAGAGGTGATTATAGCACTTGAAAAGTATGTAACTGATTTAAAAAATTGTAAATAGTTGATGATTTCCCAGCTTATTCCCAAAAAGTAAAGCTAGCAGTTTGTACTTTGTTTAGCAAGCTAGCACTTTAAGTGTATGTTACTTAACAAGTATATGCGTATGCATATTTCTTTTACGCGTGTTTATGCATATACGTTTAGCATTTGTATATATTTCTGATCTGCAAAAATTAGTTAAATAAAAACAAAAGACAAAAACGCATTTCGTTGGAAACTAAAAATTTGCTATTTTTTTTTTCCCCCCTTTTAATTTCAGTTCTTTTAAAATTTTCACTGTGTTTTGGAAATTACATATTGTCCGTCAATTGCAGCAATCGATTCTTTACAATTTCAAACATTTATACTTCAATTTGTTGTTTCTTTAAGCAATTTGTAATGCAAAGATTGGTCTTTGCGTTTTTTTCTTTTTTTTTTTATTTTTAACAAAATATTTTGCTTTTTTGCTTTTTATCTGTATAATTCACTTATGGCTAATATTGTTTAAAATTTAAATTTATCAATGATGCACTTATTTGGAAACAATGAACATTTTATTTTTTGAATGCCATAGATAAAATACAAAAGATAGGAAGTAAAAAAAAAAAATGATTGAAAGAACTAATTCATTCTATGTGACAGTTTCAGTTATGCCGGAAGAACCATATTACTTTTTTTTTTTAGCGCACTAACAAATTTCAAATTGAAAATTATGATTTTAATCTCATTTAATGTTCATAACTTTTGCATTTATTCAATAGAGTTAAGTAACTGTTTTTTCTTTCGATTCATTAATTCTTGCTATTAACTAATATTTGTCAAACTGAAACTTTGTTTTTTAAAGGATAAATAAAATTTCTGGTGGTATTAGTTAAAATAAATTTTTTTAAATATTGACAAGAACAAAATTTTCTTTTCGAACTTTTTTTTGAATTTTTACTGGTCTCATTTCCAGCAAAAATTAAGTGATTGTGATATATAATATAATGTAATCATAGCCATTGGTGGATAATTTGAAATGAATTTTGACAAATTCGAATATTTTAACAAGTGTTAGACACATGATATAAAACAATAAAAAATTTTTGCAATGATTTAAAATTAGTCATTTTTTTAAATCAATGAAAACCAAAAATAATTAATTGTTCTTTCTTTCTTAATAAAGAAAAATTGTTATCAGTTAAAAATTAAAAACAG